ATCTATTAAGTCGTCAAGCTTTGTAGCACAGGAATAGTGTCAGCTTCAAATATAAATTACCTTGACATATTTGCATTCAGTTATTGCACCAACGACCAAACGAAATTAGGTTCCAGAAACAACTCAATTCCGTTGTAGCCACAGATTTAAGGTCATTGTCTTTTACCCAATAACTTAGTGAGATAATTTCTCCTGTACCCAAGAATGACGAATCCTCTATCGATCCATCATAACCATAGTGTACTTCTCAATGTAGTCAATCACTACCATACTGATAACCCTAAATAGGATTATGTTAGGCTAGTGTCAAACTACACTAATATTTGCACACGTCGCTCTGGTGATCTCAAGTCTAAGGTTCACATGCACCATGATCCATCAATTAAAGGATGTATTCTGATAAGTGCTTGAAAATGCACTTAGTGGTTTATCAGGAGTACTTGTGGGAAATTAGGATTAATTTGCATGAATTATCTTAATTGTTTCATAAATGCACTTTTCAAGATCACGGGTATTTTTGTTGTGTTTTCAGGGCATAAAAGCTTAAAAATAATATTCAGATGAAAGACAATGTTGTCAAGAGAATTGGTGTTGACCAAAAACAAACGGTTCATAAATCAGAGTTGAAACGAGAAAGTTATAGCTTTTTGAAGTTGAAGTGCAAATCTTGGAATACGCTCCAGTTTGAACATCCTTTGGTATTTTGACAATTGATATGTAGACATCAGATTGAGATGATTCTTAGACCATTGGAAAGATTCAAAGGGGTATAGTTCATATGTTTATCACTTGGCCATATTGAAACGTTATCATCCTTAAAAATCATCATCTTTTCATGCTTCAACATAGTTTCATGGCATAGCAAATTCTGGACAAATTAAGACTTTGGGGCAGAACCATCAATGCCTAGGCATAGTGCCGCGGCACAGCCATGATTCTAGAATTTTCTACATTAAATATATGATTTTTTTTTCAGGTTTAAGAGTTCCAAACTAAATAGGAAAGTGGGATACACAACCCTACAACCTTATAACTATAAATAAGAGTCTTTAGCTATTATTTAAGGGAGAATAGAGAAAATGGAGAGAAACAAAAATACACAATAATGTAGAGAGGAAGAGAGATTGAATGAAGCTTGGAGAAGAAGAATTGAAGGAGATCATCATCAACTCCATTAATCCATCCAAGTTTTACTAAGTTTTTCTTCTCCTTTGTTGTTATTCGTTATCAATCATATGATGATGTTTTTTTATTTTTATTCATTGATAATTAATTCTTTTGTGATTGAGGGTGACTCCAAAACCCTAGACATGTCTTGTGATTAATAAAACCTGCAACTTTTTGTCTTTTGATCCCTCTTGCTTATGTGATTTATTCTCTAAGAATAGAGTTTAAATAGATTGTCTTAATTGTTTAAGTGCGCAATTAAATCATTAGAATTAGTCTATTATTGTCAATTTAGGTTGTTTAGCACGGAATCGCTTTACTAGTGGTAAAGTGTATGTCTGCATGCATTTTGGGGGTAATCACTTAGGATAACTAAACCGACTATATGAGTTTAGCCTTGATTCAATAGGTCTTTCACATCTTAATGCTTTTATTACTTTGAATTTAGAGATCATATCCTAGGTTATTTAATAAATAGGGAATTGGGTTACGACCATATCTAATCCAAGACTCAGTAAGGAGAGATGGAACTTATCAACGTTCAGTATTTTCTAAGTGTATGTAATCAAGAGGGTAGGAAGTTAAAGGATGTTTTTATTGATTTACATTACATGTTTAGTGGTGGCGAATGATCCTTCAATCAAAGTTTTTTCATATTCTCTCATTTGTATAATTATGTTACTTGTTTTTAGTTAGTTGTTTTTAATGTTTAATCATAGAAACCCCCTGTTTAAGTAGGTAGTTAGTTAATTAGAAAAGTCTTCTGCTGGAAAGACCATTACTTGCTCTGTACTACTACACGACATTTCTATATAATTTAAATAAGGTAAAATTAGGTGTTGCTTTTTCACACATTATATTTCATGGACACTGGAGTTACCATCCATATGGAATCCTTTGATGGGCCAGTCCAATGAACTTGGCAAATAGAAGCACCCATGCGTTGCACCAAGTTGTCGCCAAACAACTTTGACATATGAGATATGTCACTATCTTTCGGTAGAGTCGTTCAATGCTATGATAGTCTTACAGTATTATCCGTGTCCTTGGTAAGGATAACACCGAGGCTACAAACAATTATAGAATGGCCACTATATGTGCTCACAGGGTCCTCACAATCAAGATTTATAACATTCGACACCCTCGTCACAGTTCGACTATTCTAAGGACATGTACATATATCAATACATATATAATGATTTACACGATATAATAAAATGTCTTTTATTAATGGAACAACATGATACATAGAGTCAATTTACATAAAAGGTTGGAAGTTGAGGAGCCAAACTATAGTATTGATTTGTCATATGAAACTCCTTCAGTTGAGGATTGGGAAAAAGAAACTGTGTTTGCAAATTTTTAAAAGCTACAAAATGGATGTCAAGGTCGAAATAGGTGACTTCTAATAGTTATTTTCATGAGATAGTTGGTATTGTCACTTCTTTGAATAAAAGAATCTAATGTTTGTCTTCACAACTTATCTAAGAAAATGAGAGAGAAGTTTGACAAGTATTATAGGAGTATTGATAAAACCAACATGATGGTGCTGATTGCAATGGTATTAGATCCTCGGTATAAAATGAAATATATGAACTTTTGCTATAAAAGGATTTATGCCAATGACTTGCAAAAAGTTGGGATAATGTTTGGAAACTTGAAAGATGTGTTATAACGATTGTATGAATTTTATGATCAACTTCCATCAAGTTTAGAAGAAAGTCAAACTTCCAATTCCTTTCACGCCATGGGAATTGATCAGTCTTTAGCTGCTACTGGTTACGATGATGATAGTAACTTCGACCCCGGTCACGTAAGCATATTTGGAGGAGATGGAAGAACAAATACATGATGAAAACAAAACAGAGGTAGAATGATATCTTGACGAGAAATGTGAACCCGTTAAGAGTGATTTGAATGTCTTAGATTGGAGGAAAATAACTACGAAGTATAAGGTTCTCTCACATATGGCAAGAGATGTCTTTGCAATTTCGGTGTCTACAGTTGCTTCCGAATCAACTTTTAGTACATCGGGTTGTGTACTTGATCAAATTCAGAGTTGTTTAACTCCACATTTTATGGAAGTCTTAATTTGTATATGAGATTGGTTAAGATGTGCACCAACACCAACTCATGTTGAAAATTACTTGGAGGACACAAAAGCTTATGATTCAGGTAACTTACTAATATCAATCTCTTATATTCTTATTTAGTTGATTTCTTTCTAAATAATTTTATTTAATGTTTTTAACATATTAATTGACTTTCTTGTATTTATTTTGTTGAAATGAATGCATTTGACAGAGGAATATTCATTGCAAATTTGCAGCATGAAACATGAGATATGTCATATCATATGACAATCTTTGTTATGGACATTTCACAGTTTAGAGGTTATTTAATCTTTTCAAGCAACTTTAATCATTGTTTTAAAATCTGGCTAGACCCGACTGATTTAACCAGGGCCTATGGCCTTCGCCGGGCCGGGTTACCAATTTCCCTAGTCATCGAAAATCCTAGAAATTTGGATGATGATTGATGAACAATGGAAGGCCTAGATGTTGGGAGTTTTGAAGATGAAGGATCGGTGAGTGCAATGGTGGTGAGGGCGGTGATTTCTAGTGATTGAATAGACCGAAGATTAAAAAAAAAAAAAATTGGCGACAACAACAGCTAGCTTTTGCTTGCGATTGGCAAGGTGAACAGGGGTGGGTAAGATGGGTTTTGGTTAGGAGGCTGAGAAGAGTATTTTCATGGTAATGGAGAGGGTTGATGACGCTAACAATGGTGAGATCTGACTAATTTCTATCAAATCTAGGGTAAATTTTCTGGGGAATTGGCTCAAGAGATAATTGGGATTGCATTTTATGTGTCACCACCACCAACCAATCAACCGCCGATTTGTATTTGGAGTGTGTTTGCTAAATTCCAAACATGTAAGAACTTCACTATAATTTTCAAGGGTGTATTTGTTAAATTTTAAACCTTTTGACACCCGATCCGATCAGTCGATCAAACTAGTTAAACCGGTCAACTTGGGACCCGACAACTTTGCCAAGTTTCACCTCGGTTTGGTTATTAAAACATTAACTTTAATAACAAAAGTTAGACAAAAATAACAAAAGCGCGTTTTGTAGATGAGTTCTTGAAATCCTGGGCTACAATTTGATTAAATTCTCAAAAGTTAGCACACACCTTGAGTCTAAGAAAAGGTAGGAGTGGTCATTGATTTTTTCCCAATTCTAAACTAATGAGCATGCAATAATTTCACTAGCAAGAATGTTTATACTCAATAAGACATGCGATTGAGACAAAAGCAAAGAAACTATTCTTGTTACAAGAGGCAAGCTCAACATAGGTAACCTTTGCGTATTTCCAGCATCGTCGAGTATTTAATGCCAGAATTGTTGAGAAAATAGATAGCTCCTCCAAAGGTTGGTTTTATAGCCCAACAATTGGAAGTTGCATCTTTTTAAAGAGTAATACTAGCCTTATAAAGAGACATACAAAGAGACAAATCCAACCCTTAAAAGAAGGGAAAAAGAGAGAAAGAAAGACAATCATGAATTTTAAGGACTGAATTTATCTCTTTATATACTTCTTTGTAAGGCTAGTATTTGTAAGGCTAGTATTACTCATTTCTAAAACATATGCCTATGTTCATTACAACTCATAAAACCTTCCAAATTCAAATGCATCACATCACCTGTCAATACCATATTTTCCTGGCAACGAACAGTTCAAGTTGGAAAACTGCACCGACTGCAATAAAAAATCTTAAGAGACAGAAATAGAAAAAGAAATCTAAAGAAAACAAAATTCCTCACAACACATTGGTCTGCAAATTTCTTCTGGCATTTGAAACTGTGCTTGGCTTTGATTCTCTTTATATACAAACAGCCTTTAACTATGCACTCAAAAAAACCAAAAATATCTAAAAGAAAAATGGTAAAGAAAAATTATTAGAAGTCCTGTGTGGGTTATTAACAGATGGAAAAGTAGATGTCCTATAAAGCCCATGGAGATCATTGCCCATGATCTTGGTATACATTGACATTCATAATTCCAAATCGGGCACAATAATGTACAAACTGTGAGATTTCACTGTTGGTCTATTTGTCCAAGAAACCCCCAAAGAGGAACAGCGAAGTATTCACATGACGCCTTTCAGGCAGGAGCTGCTCTGTTTTCGGAACAGGTTTGACAGTTTGTTGTTCCTTGTCCGGAAATGGGAATGAAAGCGAAAGAGAAAGGGACGCAGACACATCCTCCTCCTTTCCCTTATCAGTCACCTTATCCGGAGGCTTGTCCTGGTTATTATTTTTGTCTACCGATCCAACAAAGAAAGGCAACATTCCCTTATTTGGTGGTTTCTTCTCAGCCCCTAAAGCAAGCTCGAGATTTGGAAACCCATCACGAAATTGATCCTCATCCTTCGATGAGAGTGCTTTCCATGGCATGGGGTTAGACCCCAACTGCAAATCTTTTACATGTGAATCCACAGGAAAGAAGTACCTCTCTGTAGTTCCCAAGTCCTCAGGAATAACTTTTTCATCACATAGCACATCACATCTCTTATCCTCAACTGAAGCACTGGGATGCAGATCATCTCTCTGTGATGAAAATCCGTCACTAAAAGAATCTCTATCTCTGGAACTACTATATCCATATGTTCCACTAAAACATGTCTTCGGCTTCTTGCTAGAACTTTCTCCATCTACAAATGCTTCTTTCCAAGTCATTTTTTGACTTATGCCGCTAGAATTTTCTGACACAGTTTCCTTTAGATCCAAGTGTAGGCGCTTATGGTGATTGGACTGCTGACAGTTGAGCCCTTTAAAGTTCAGGTTTCTACCCAAGGCAGTTTCTGTGTCTATATACTCATCATCATCCTTTAAGCACCTTTCAAGATCAACTTGATTTCTGCCCCTTATCATTAAATCTGGCATCTTCTCAGAAACAACAGTCACCTCATCACCTACAGGGAGAATTTTTAATTTTGAACTCTCTTCTCTGACAAACGGAGCACCTATATGCATTTCTGTCTTCTCAACTTTGTTGGAACCAATATCAGTTTTAATTTCTTCAAGAGAGGGTTTAAGCTCTGCGCCCTGCCTGCACACTGGAAGTTTACACTCTTCCTGCAAAAGTAATGAATAAATATTAATATGCATCATAAAGGAAGTGACTGTACGGCTTTGATATAAAAGAACATGACTGACAGAAGGCAACACATCAAGGAGCATAAGCAGCACATAATATGAAAAAAGAATGGTGAGCCGAAAATACAGCATAGCCAAAAAAAACATGCAGGCACCAACATGTTTTTATAAAAACTAAAAACACTTATATTAATTCAAGAAAAATTTACGAAAGTAAGGAACAAATTTTCCACAGTTTATGCATACATCTTCACGTTAGAACATCTCAAAATAGTCAAAATCTAAAAATACATATCTTAGGACATTATAAAGAGTCCTGAATTCAGCAAACGGCTAAAGACTAGACACCCTAAATCAATTCACTGGAACCTCCCAGTTATGACAAATAAAATAAAAAAGGCAAGCCTTAAAGTTCAAATGAAACAAAAACCAAAGAGAAGCCTGAAACAGGCTTTCTCCAATAAGGATTGGCTCCCTTCCCTTTCTATCTTCAAAAACTCTTTTAATTCTATTAAGATAACATAGAATAGCCATAGCTGAACAGCCCCATAACACTCTAGCTATCCTATTAAACCAGATAGGCTTGATGTTTTCTCTGATAAGACCAACACAAGAACAAAGGAGCCAGAGATTTGAGGCAAAAATGAGACTAATCCACAGCTACAAACCTATATGCTCACTCCAGGAACAAGTGGTCTAAGCTCTCAGCCTCCCTTACACATCATGCGCCAATTGGCAGAAAAGAACATGTTGGATCATCTTATTTGAAACATCTCATAAGAGCATACATTTTCCAATAAACCACAAACACATATATCCTACTAGATTGACATGGAGTTCCAGCATCAAAGCATATGCTCATTATATATGGCATAATGGACTGCAGCAGCTGAGAATTATTTGTCAGGCTGGTTGTTTGGTGCTTGCTTCTATCTTCGTAAATAACCAAATCAGACTACATATTTGCATATATCAATTACGTTGGATTTAGAACTGAAAAAAATAATCTCCTAGTATTTTCTTTTTTGACAATTGATTTCAAACACTTCCAATCGTGGAAAGATAATTGATTATTTCCAAAATTATAGGGGATAACAAAAATTTTGAATTCAAATATTGAATAACTCTGCTGCTTCTGCAGTCCAATAAGCGCATCTATAAGGGGTTAAACCTAATCTGATATGGATATCCTCAAGAAAAATGCGAAAGCTTAAAAGGATTTGGGGGGAAATGATAGAAACCAGAGGAGATATTCAATGGAGAGATGAAAAGAGTTTCTAGGTGTGAAATGATGTAGAAAGAGGATGTAGCATGATTGAACACATATCTAGTATATTAAAGAAAACAGAAAAAAATCTGCAAGCCAAAAGATTTCAACACTAATATGAAGTACGAAAAAAAAAAAAGTATAAACACTAGAAAAATAATGCTGTAGGAAAATAACCTACCTAAGAATGAAATTCATAGACATCTTCACCAAACCATTAATAAGATCAGAAAGATACAATAAAACCAATGTTGGCACCATTCTTCACAAACAAATTAATCTAGTTTAAAATTGTGAAATTAAGAAACCCAGAATTAGTAAATAAACATAAAACATACAAATAAAAAGTTTAGGCTCAATTGGAGTTGTTGTAACTTTCAACTTAACCACTTTTTGCTCTATTGTGGAAAGAATCAATTATATCTGTGCTTTCAAAAGCGATATGTGTTAAAATTGATTTTCAAAGTCCTATTACACGTTTAACAAGTGCAATGAACATACTTTATCTCAGAAAATATTTTTAAGAACTATAAAAATTATTTAATTAATTAAATTAATAATCAATTGAAAACATTAAAAAAGAAAAAGATCCTCTGGCCAATGGCCTGGTTGCTGCCAGCTTCAGCCCTTTCTTGTTATGGTGCATCTTGCAACACAATCAAACTATAAGTGATAAAAAGGCTAGTATGACTGGTTTTTTAATAATGAAGTATCAAATTCTTAATTTAATTAGATAATTATTAGAGAAATAGACAAAAATGACTACATTTGAGGGGTGCTAAACGAAAATAAGCTACTCTCAAGTGTCTCCTCCATATTAAAGACCAACTCCAATAAACCAAATGCCATTTCTATTCTATATTCAATACTTTCTTCTTTCTCTACTTGAATCAATTACAAGCCATGAAGTTGAACAATTTTTGGCTATCCAGATATTTATGATTATTCATTATTTTTGTTCAATTCATATTGTAATATAATGGACAGTATGTTAGAAGCTTACTTTTCATGATCTAGAAAACCTAGAGTTCTTAGATTTGATTTAAATGTCTAATGCTTCGTGTTAATGTCATGAATTATTGAATATAAATGATGTATGGCTGATGAAATACATTAAAAGTAGCCTAGTTGGATTAGCATGTAGTGGAATCCCAACATGGTGAAGCAAAACCTCGTGAGATTGAATTTTCTTTTTCCTAGAAAACCCCATAAACGTGAACCACCTCATGGAATGGGGGTTTCAGAACCAAAAACCCTGATCCCACAAATATATCAGCGGTTTCAGAACCAAAACTCGCGATCCCAAAGTAAGCTCCTAGAACCATAGGTTTCTGGTTTGTTTTTTAGAGTACTTGCTCCCTAAACCAAGGTTTCCCAACAATTCCCACTTACAATCAAGTTTCATCAAAAACTCTTATTCTCTACAGTTAGGATCCCACATGGAAGGGAAAAGAGTGGGTATGTGGGTTATAAAGGGCTTGGACACCCTCCCTTGGCAAACTAGTTTTCCAAGGAGAGTTCTACCCAAGCCCATGAAAAGCCCACTGCCTAGTCCAATTATTTGAGTTGTTAGATGGGTATCTACCAAATGTTATCAAAGCCAAACCCCGCCCGAGCCCATGTTCTGGAAAGGGCGACCTGGGAAAGGGCTACCTAGGAAGGGGCGACCTCTGAGAGTAAGGTACTCAGAGTGAAGCCATCCAGAGGGGGCCAACAATGTTTCGAAAAAGGCGACCTAGGAAAGGGCTACCTGGGAAGGGACGACCTGGGAGAGTAAGCCACCCAAAGTACAGCCGTCAAGAATGGGCCAAAGTGGACATTAGGTCTCGAAGCGTGGGGAATGTTAAGATCCCACATTGGAAGGAAAAAGGGTAGGCATGTGGGTTATAAAGGGCTTGGGCACCCTCCCTTGGCAAGCCAATTTTCCAAGGAAAGTTCCACCCAAGCCCATGAAAGGCCCACTATCCAGCCCAATTGTTTGAGTTGTTAGATGGGTATCTATCATCTACAAACAGAATAAATCACCAAAAATCTCACCAAGATTTTAATATTTAACACAATATATACCCTAACTATCAAACAACACAAACAAATCTAACACCAAGTATTCAAAACTAAATCAATACAAGTCTTAATCTGTCCAAAACAATAAACATAAGCAATTCTTCTTAAATTTTGCAGTTGAGTTGAGTTGTGAAATAGATAATAAAGAGGGGAGAGAGAGACAAGAAGTGGAAGATATAGGTCTTAATTGTTGTTTTACTATGGGAGTATTTTGTCATTGTCCTTTTTGGTGGTCAATATGGAGGACAAATTTGAGTGGTTATTTTTATTAACACCCCCCGCAACTGTGTTCATTTTCTCTAATTTCCCTAATCATTAGTACAAATTTATTTTGCAATTTGTATTGTTTTATAAGGGTTTTCTTTAATTGGACATTGACATTATCAACTTCAAGAAATAATATGATTTTGAAAAGATACTCGAGGTTATTTTTCAAAATCTTTTATTAAATTGATTATGAAAAATCAACTTGAAACAGTTGCGAGTCCTAGATTGAGAAATAAATGACTATTTCCAAACTACATCAACCCTAAACAAGCACTTATTCTCTTTAGTCTCTGAGTGTAAACCATGTATTTCACAGGAATCCTATCAATGCCAAATTCAACATGAACATACACCACAAACAAGGACATGAATAAAAAAACCAAGCAATTATATGAAACAACAGTCAGGAAGTACTTGACATCTTGTTTGTCAATCTACATACAAGCAGAAGTAAATAAACCTTACCAGGGGAGGAGTGGTGCATCTCATTTCCTGGGAGAATTGAGTGGTTGTTGCAGACCTTGACATAAATCTGGAGTCAAGTCCATCCTGTTGCTGAGAGTGGGCTTGTGAACCCAAAGATGTCTGCTCATCACAAGATGCCTTGTTTTCACAATCCCCGTTTACTGTGATGCCTGCCTTGTCAGGACAACTGAATGCTGGGGCTATGTTACGAGAACTATCAGAAGCAGATGAATCTTTATCTACATGCTTGGGCAAACATAGATTCTTAGACAAAGACATGTCATCAGCAGAAATATCTCTCTCCAGGGACACCATATTCAAACCACCAATAATACTTGAATTCTTTGCGGCATTGGAGCAACTCATTCTCCTTGCCCTGAATACACCCCATAGGAAAAATAGCAAATTCCAACCTGCCAAAAACAAATAAATGAATTTTAGCATTTAGCATGATTCTAAATTAATATTATATTATTTAATTTGACCACAAATTCTGGCATCCAAGCAGCAGTGATCTAATCCAGCAGCAAAGTAACTTGAATCCCCAGTAAAGGCATTGTTCTCTCAGTGCGAAACAAAAATGTGACTACATAAAGCAGCATGACCATCAAAATAGTTGCAAGCATCAGCAATGGAAAGGTTTCTAACTCCATAGAAGCATGTTGTTAATCTTGATAAGTACCATAAACAGACACACAGAAATACATTCATAAGAAACCCCTGAAGAAGATCGTTTCCACCTTCAAGCATATTCTTACCCTCTTGATGCATATCATAAACACAAAAATACACACACTCACAAACATATGTATATAAGAAATCCCTAAATACCTCTTTATTCTCAGTCAACAAGTATTCACAGATCTTCAATGCACCCCCAATTGAGGTATAGTATATTAAATATAATATTGTACACAATGCAGATATCAAAACTCCAGAGTTTGTCATCTCATAAGCATGGTGCCCGGCAGACAAATTTATTAGTGCAAGCCTCAGAATTTGCATTGGAAAGATATATATTCTGGCCTCACCGTAGGGTCAAGCACAATAAACTATCTAAATTAAACTGGGTGCTTCTACGATAATTAAGAGCTGATTCTTACGCTGACAATTCTCAGGAAGCTGGCTGGATGGGAAAATCAGGAGTTCAATACCATCTAGGTTTCCCTTCAGTGCTAAATCATTCTTCATCATGCTATCCAGCAGAAACTTGTAGTTTCTCTCATAGCTGTAGCAGAATTAAACAAAAATTAAAGTAGAGAACAGTACAAAATATAAAGCACCCGGAAGACCGTTGTTGAATTAAAAGATAAAATAAAATAAGTTATCATGCACTGACCTCTCATGATCTTTGGCAAAGAAGTAAAGAGCAATATTATCTTCTTTTGCACCGCCTTCATGAAACTTCATTGGCCATGTGCTCAAGCGAGGTACTTCATTCAATTGAATTTTCTGGGGAAATTTGTTCACCATTTCAAGAACTTTAGGTGATGCATAAGATGATAGGTGCGCTTGAATTCCACCGCATAAATCTGGAATTTTTCCTCCCTTATATACCTCAAATTCCCCCCTGCAGGTATGCAATAGAAGCTAAAGTACTTGAAATTTCAAGAAGCAAGATACAACCACCAAAGAATCATATATAAGAAAAAGAAAAGAAAACAAATGCAGAGTCTCCAATAAATGAAGATAATGATTTAAAATGGGAAGAGGATCTCACTGCCAAATGTATTCATGCTCTGGGATGGCTGACATCTTTAAAAGAATAGACGATGCTGCCAAAGCGTGACCAGACAAGTCCTTCATTGGAGCCTTTCCAAAAGGAGCAGTAAAACTTGGATCCCTAACTCTCAAATCAGAGGAATTAGCACCAAACTGTTTGGCATGATTGATTGTTGATTGTTTGTAAGAGTCAGAGGAACCGTTTCGGATATTGGTTTGTGCTTCATGTGTTTCTTCAAACAAAATCATATTCTTCGTCTTATTTGAGACTGATAATTGCTCTTGAGAAGCTCTTTCACAATCCAAATCCAACCCATCTGATTGATCATTCACTCTATTCTTTCCATATGATACAGGCAATTTATTCATGGCGGCCTCAATTGCAGCTTTCAACTTATTACCTTTGATCATCTCCTCCCTAGAATTCTTTCCAGCAGGTATATCAATACCAGAAACCTGTGGGCTAGTAATGGGGCAACTTTCCACATCATGACCCATTTCTTTACACTTTTGACATGGAACACCTTTTGAACCAGTAGTAAGAGTAGGCCTTGGACGACTAACATTGAGTTTTTCACCCTGAGTTGTTGATTCCAGTGATCGAGGTAGACAATCTTGCAGAATTTCATTAACACTATTTGATGGCCTATCAGCAGTCCAAGAAGAACTGGATGAGGGCTCATCCTTGGGGATAACAAGGTTTGGCTTCTGTTCAGCAGAAGAACTGGACATTCCATTCATAGACGAAGCTCCAACTGCATTGTTCAAACAACAAAACAATCTCTTAGTTTTGCACAAACCAAAATGAAAGAAAAGGAAACCTAATGTTTAAGAAAAAATATGTGGTAACAGTGAGAATGAAAAAAATGATAAACAGCATTAGCATGATCTTTTGTCAACAAAGGGCATACCCGGAGAAGCTGGAACTTCTGCACCTCTACGAGCTAGATTGCTGTTTGATTTTGGCAAAATACTTACTTTTCCTTCAGATTTCACAACCTTTGACTCACGGTTGTTGCCTGCAGATGCAAGAGGCACCGTTTCACCACGAGATGTGAGCTTTTGATCAACCTTGGGTGTTGAGACGACAGCACTAGCAGTTGCTGAAACAGCATGAGACTTATCCAACTTCGACAAATTTTTCCTTTCAAATAGAGTGCGCTCTTTCAATTGTTTTAGTCCTTTCAGATCCTGAGACAATCGAGGTGAAACGGCTCTAAATTTTGATTCGCTAGTACTTGTACGGCCAAAATTTGTAGATTTAAACGACTGAGATTTGCTCATTGCTCTAGAAAACCCTTCTTTCATATCAAGGGGTGCTTGCTCTCTGCTCCCTTTCTGTTTTTGAAGAATAACTTCAGGAACAGGTTTCACTTTTGGCTTGGTGCTGAATGAATTGGATTTAAATAAATTACCTGAACAATAAAAAACGTGAATCACTGCCCAAAATAATATGAATATATCACAACGAAAAGAGCATTTTTGGCTTTTGCATAAATAATGTGTAAAAAAGATTTTGAGCCAGCAGAAAGGTGTATACCCTTGGGTGTTTGAAGCAGCAGACCAGTAGGAGAACGTGCAGTTTCTGAGACATCATTGCTGGAAATATTACCAAAAGATGCTGGCTTTACTTTCCCCTTATCTATGCTTTTGAATGAACTATCCCGTGATAAAGAAGCTGCTCTGGTAGGGCTGGATGATTTTGTTGGTCCTAGACTTGTTTCAACAGCCAGCCTTTTAGCTGCTGCAGCAGGCTCTAGATTTTCAGCTTGTCTCTTACCAAAGCTTTGTGTACTTAATTTGTTTGTTCTTTTACCCTCTGTATCTAAAACTTTAAAAGTGGATTTTACAAAATGATCAGAATATAAAGTGCTCATGTTTCTGCAATAATGATTTTTTACTCAAAACCCAACATGTTATTTCAGTTTTACCTACCTTGCTTATGATTTTCAGTTTCCTCCGCAAACTTGCATTCTTCACATAGCCATTCACCTTCAGGAAGTTTTTGAAGCATTTCTTTCATGCAATAGCTTTTATATATAGCAAAAACAATGTTAAGACTCGATCTGTAATATTAAATACTAAAAATTGCTATAGGCAACAAAGATAAGAGACTGTATATACTTACGTGTGCTCTGCCCCATCACTGCATTTACTACAAATAGCAAGCAAATCCTCTCGTCCTGCATCCCCACAAATATCACATACTTTTACCTGTTTCAAAAAAAAGAATGTGCTCAGCAAGTATATTCATTTTCAATAACTTAGATTATCAAGTGAATACAGAAAAGGGAAGGAAGGATCCCAAACAAGTCAAAATGAATCCCAGTGGTCATCTCCAGGCTAAACTAGACTGAGCGTCAATTGAACGCAACCATAATCCATTTAACCAAAACATAAACAAGAACAATCTTGAGCTCACTGGTAATGAATACATCTATTCCAAGTTACTTTTCTTTTTTCTTTTCAATGAAGCAGAAAAAGTGAAAGCATCATTTACTCACATCATGTTCTACAATGTCTGACTCATCACTATCATCCCCAGAAGCTGCTTGTGGAAGCTGGGTGTCAGGTAAATCCAACTCATTGAACTTCAAATCATGTTCATCATGGCCTGAACTTTTACAAGCTTCATCAGGTGGTTCCCCACTATCCTTCTCAACTTCTGCTTCTGACTTTGGAGATATTTTTGTCAAGACTTCAGGAAAGCCTCCAATAAGCAACTTGTCACTGTGAGAATGAGAAAATGGACTTTGAACCTTTGGAGAACCACAACCAGTATCAGCCTTTTTTGCTGAAGGAATATCTGAGGAGCCTAATTTCTGGGAAAATGGTGCCTTCCCAGATCCTTCTGGACCTAAACTACAAACTAAAGCTGAACTATGAGATAAATTCTTAAAGTCTACATATCTGTCACCATCTGCTGCATCAGCATCATTGGCTCTACTAACACTTGACATATTATCGTCATGTCCTTCCACACCTTTGGTATCATCATACTTAGCAGAGAAGATTCTCTGATCCAAAACAGAGTCAGGTTTTGGAGATAGTTGATCCTCTGCACCAGCTCCACCAGAGGACAACTTTGGATGTGTATCAAAATCTTCTGAAGTAACAGATATATCACAAGACCTAACGGTTGCTTTGCTTTCAGCATTCACCGAGAAAGAATCATGACTTGAATTGGCACTGAGCAGGTTACTTGCTTCACTGGCAGCATGTTGAAGGCTGCCACATGGTCTACCTTTAGAGCCAACATTGTCATTACCAGAAAACTGACTAGCTGTTGTTTCGCGACATGTCTCATCAGAGAACTCATCAATCTTTGATCCCATGATAGCTATCTTGCGATGCATACAAGATGAACAAGGAGCGGAACAGACGTTACAAGTTCCAGATTCTGCTCTCATAAGATTTTTTCGACTCATGGAATGCTTGCCAAATTTTCTTTCAGCCTGTGATGTTACCTACTAAAAACAAAGAAAAATTTAATTAAGCCAAGAGCCAAAAAGAACAAAAATGACAGTCCTTAAAAAACATATGTTCATCCATTTCCGGCCAACAAGAATAATATGAAGATAAATCCCACCTTAGCAGTAAATCCATGTCAAACTAGGAAAACTAAAATTAAAATTTAATGAATTGATAAAACAGTTTAAATGATATCTCAGAAGTATAGCGCATTCAAAGACACATAACTGAAATGACCATCACTATATCTACAGTAAGCATAATTCTAATTTAGTAACTTGTCTCAGTGCACATAAAATTTACCCCAAAACTCCAGGCATAAGAAAAGTCGCCAACCACACTATTGTTGGTCCAGACTTTCAACTACCAATTGACTCCTCGTTCCTTAGATGATACCCTGAATAGTCTTAACATAGAGCAATCTATAAAATAAAAATAAAAGATCATGTCCCAAACTTCCTTGCAAGCCTCATATTAGTACAAGTTTTATACTAGGACATAATTTTGCATTTTTAAGATGCCACCCTCTTGCTTGGACAACAGTCTGTCATACTCCTGCAACTCCTCACAGAAAGATGGCTTTTTTTCTTGATTTTAGTGTAAAGAATAACTCATTCTTTCCTGCTTCTAATCTCCAAATTATACCCTGGAAACATTTAAGGCTAGGAAAACATGCAAATATTTCAGAGCTTTATAATCAGCAACACACTAGTGTTCACATTTTTGCATATCAACCCAAATATATTGCAATACACCTGGTTTAGCCAATGCTTACCATTTATAAATTGAAAAATTGATTCTCAATGCTTACTGTATCTTAATTGAGCTTGAAGCCAAGAAGTATCTACTTCAGTGTGCTTCTAAATAGTTCCAAAGTATATAAATAATGTCTTGGACCCTCCTTTTTTCCAGAAAAAAAAGTCCACCCAGTTCATCAAAAAAACTAAACAAAACCCTTACCATATAAGCAGAAAAGAGTCTCATGAAGAAAGACCGTCAATATGGCCTTAATTTTATCTTTTGAAAAAAAAAAATCCTACCATAGTGTAGGCCATGGTAAAAGGGGTCAATTCTTGAAAACATATGTATGTCTAGAATATATATTGACATGATTAAATTCATGCTTGTCAAAAGGAAAACAAAAAAGGGTGATGGGCCACTCGAGAACCATCTATGATATATATATATATATATATACACACACAAGAATGCCGCCCAGAGATTAGAGCATAACAGAAGACAAAGCGAAAGGTTTCTGACATTCTTTGATCCATAAAAAAAATAAAAAAATAAAAAAAAACATATATAACACAATGTTTCATCAAGCAATACATGGAATGCCTTGGTTTAGCCTTATCATTCCTGTTTAAGATTCGAACATACCCAAAGCTAAGAAAAACATTTATATCCTACAATATGTTTCTTTCTACTCCTACATTGTCAGGGGGGGAAAAACTTACTAAATAATTTGAAATTCCAGCAATCCACTAAACATACCAATTGTAACAGTGATGATTCTCATTCTACTTCAATCAATCTTATTTTACTGCATAACAATGACTCAATTTTTTTGTGCATAGCCTAATCAATGCCTTCATGGGGGTAAATATGTGGGTCAGCATGAAGACTCGACTATTTCCAGAACATAGGCCAACATATTCTTAAGGTTTTCCATCCAACCCATGTTCTTAAGACTCCAAACCAACATCTTTTCCTGCATGAAAACTTCAAAAAATTTGAGATGCTATAATGTGGTTTGAGCAACATAGACACAAATGTATCCTCTTCAAAGTACTTCCAACTAACAAGACTTATCATTTCTAAGCACATCTAATCAGCAATCCACCCCTACAAAATCCTAATACCATTACAGCTCATTCCTGCCTATAGAAATGTTATATTAACCCAAGCATGCTATTAAGAATGTATTATTTCTAGTCTTTTTTCCAGTCCAAGTAAATCCAATATCCTTTCATAACATATTTGAAGGGTAAGATGGCTAGGCCAAAAGCAGCTCTTATGGAGTACCAGAATCAGTCAGCAAGTCACTAGGTAAAGTTTTTCTTCCTTTTTTTTTTTCTNAATAAAAAAAACATATATAACACAATGTTTCATCAAGCAATACATGGAATGCCTTGGTTTAGCCTTATCATTCCTGTTTAAGATTCGAACATACCCAAAGCTAAGAAAAACATTTATATCCTGCAATATGTTTCTTTCTACTCCTACATTGTCAGGGGGGGGAACTTACTAAATACTTTGAAATTTCCAGCAATCCACTAAACATACCAATTGTAACAGTGATGATTCTCATTCTACTTCAATCAATCTTATTTTACTGCATAACAATGACTCAATTTTTTTGTGCATAGCCTAATCAATGCCTTCATGGGAGTAAATATGTGGGTCAGCATGAAGACTCGACTATTTCCAGAACATAGGCCAACATATTCTTAAGGTTTTCCATCCAATACATGTTCTTAAGACTCCAAACCAACATCTTTTCCTGCATGAAAATTTCAAAAAATTTGAGATGCTATAATGTGGTTTGAGCAACATAGACACAAATGTATCCTCTTCAAAGGACTTCCAACTAACAAGACTTATCATTTCTAAGCACATCTAATCTGCAATCCACCCCTACAAAATCCTAATACCATTACAGCTCATTCCTGCCTATAGAAATGTTATATAAACCCAAGCATGCTATTAAGAATGCATTATTTCTAGTCTTTTTTCCAGTCCAAGTAAATCCAATCTCCCTTCATAACATATTTGAAGGGCAAGATGGCTAGGCCAAAAGCAGCTCTTATGGAGTACCAGAATCAGTCAGCAAGTCACTAGGTAAAGTTTTTCTTCCTTTTTTTTTTTCTTTTTTCTTTTTTTTTTTTCTTTTTTTTTGGTAAAAGGAACAAGAAGTATGTGTCCTGATTCAAAAAAACATACTAAAAGGAAGGACATGCTGAGTCTCTAGATGACTGTGTCCCACAATTTAAAAGCACTAAAATTTCAAAAATACAACCTAATTCACAAAAAATTTCACTGAAAGGTTGAAGGATAAAAAAAATACAACTTGTAGAAGATGTGTGCAACTCAATATTTATGCATCTTCTCCTAACAAACAGCCCTCTGTTTCAATGAAGGTTTCCAAGTTTTGCACTACCGAAACAACTTTTATTTCAACTCCTTCAAAGTTCCCTTAACTTTTATACTTTTCAAGTTTTATTAATATGGCAAACGATATGTAAAATCTAGACAAGATCACCACATCAGTAGTGAAAATCAAAAAATACATAGATAGAGGGGAATTTAGATTTCGATCAGTCAATATATGAAATTAAGAGTCAGATAACTTAATTCATCATACACAGAACTAAAATAATTATTTTCCATACAAAGATATGATCAGTTTACCATTGCAACTAATCACACCGGTTATATAAACTGAAATGATGACAATCAGACGTCAAATTTCTCAATACACAAATAGATGTAATTCAATGTTCACAAGGAATAACTATCATATTAATGTTCATAATGAAAAGAGAATGGTTCATGCAATTTCAAGAATACTAAAAGGCAAACAGCTTGCCCTGTGCTAAGTTTTCATTACCTTCTATTCACCAAAGTCTAGACTTACGCAATACTATTAACCATAAACAGGTTCATGCATTCTTGAAAACACATTAAGAAAGCTTCACAGTCTCAGTTGTTCATATGCCATAAACATGAAGGCAAAAATGAACAAGAAACAAGAGGGAAATGGGGAGATTTGCAGATAAGAAAACAGTATGTAAATTACCATGTTATCTCACCATATTCTTCTCGACATCAAGATCTGCTTCCTCTCCGGGTCCTTGCATGCGGCAACTGCCTCTCAAAACTGGTGTGATCTAAAAAGCCCATTAAAAATTATATCAATTAGTACACCCAACACTGTTTACTGAGAAGCTGATACATATAACAATCTTAAGATATTAGATCACGCTGGAAGCTCAATCACTAAAAGCTTCAAACATATTTCACCTTTTAATCAAAGAACAAAGCCCAACAACACCCAAAAATTAAAAAAAAGAAAAAGAAAATGCTACAATTTCTCCAAGTAGCTAAAAACCCTAATTTTTAACGCACAATCAAAACCCACCCTACTATAACAAAAATCCCAATCAAACAGAAATTAATACAAAACAGACAATTAATTTCCCTAATTCAACAACAAACTTAATCAAAAATCAAAACTTGAATAGAACAATTAGCACAGTAATTGAAACACTAAATTACCAAAATAAAAACATAACAAAACCCTAATCGCAAAACATCCTTGCCTCTATTTGATAAATTAATTTCGTTGCATTGTAAAGCTCCTCAACACTTCGTTCCTTCCTTTCGGCTGCCAATCGATCGTCAACAGACCCTAACATCAACTCTTCGATTCTAAATTTAAACACAAAATTGCAAAAATCACAACATGCCTCTGCGTATTTCTCTCTCGATTCTCACTCTAATCTCAATTCAGGCGCGTTACAGATGCAATTGAACACAATATATTTCTCCTAATTCGTCACGAACACCCGCAAGATTGAAAGTTTATATCTATATTTCAACAGTTTGAATGATCTGAGAAATGAAAGAAATATTTAAAATAGTTGAAGGTACGAGGATTTTCTTCGTCTACAGAGCTTTAAATTACTTCTCTCTAGAATTAGGGGAAATATTTCTCTCTCCCTTTATTTATTTTTTTCTTTTTCTTTTGTTATTTATATTTTAAATTTCGTGAATTTTGGATTTTATATCCGAATTTTTGTCAGGTGTTCTAATATTCGGTCCATACCCTTTGAGGGTCTCATACGCCGTGGAAATAAGTATTTTGTATTTTTGAAAGAGGAATTATTAAGTGGATATTTGTTAATTAAAATTCAATGAAAACTTTAAAAGATGTAAATCATTAAAAACGAGATACTGTACTTGATAGTATTGGACAATTAAAATTAAAACTTAAAAAGGGTATTTGAATAATTATAATGCATAACTTATATTTAAAAATCTTATAAGTAAAATAATTTGATAAAGAGACAAATAATCTCCAAAGATAAGAGAAACAAAAAATGAAAAATATAAATATTTTTAAAAAAAATTGGAAACTAAAACAAGTAGCCAAGTCACATTGCTTACAAGCTACACAAGGTCGATGATCGTGCAAGGCCATAGGCCGAGTGTGACCATTGACCACAAGCAACGCCAATTGTTGGCATGGCAACTGGCCTAAATCTAATATCGCAGACTTGAAAGAACTATGTAGCCTTAGAGCTTAACTTAGGCCTTAAATAAGTCTAAATTATTCACATTGCTTACCTAGAATATAATGTTTGGAATGAATGAATAAATTGCAAAGTTAACTACTATAGTTGTATACAAAGATAATCCACAATACAAATCTATATAAGTGTCTTACAAATGACTACTTAGGATTAACCCTACTAACATAATCCATAGATTATTCTTTAAGATACTCTTATCCTTATCCTTTTCTTTTTTTTTTCATCAAATGTAGAGTTATGTGACAGATATAATGGGTGAGGGAATTAATCTTCTAGAGTGATTCTTTAGGAATAATTTATGAGTTGAAGCCTCCAATTGAGAAACGAGCAAGTTTAAGTATATAAGGTTGGGTCAAATGTGATATTTTGTCCTACCTAATCCTATGATGCGCTTATCACGTCTTTATTGTGAAACTCTCGTATCTTGCTTTCAAACTGCCATAGTATATGCTTAAACTTCCAACTAGTTTCACAATTTGCTAAACCTTTCAAATTCACCAAATACTCACTATTCGAATTGTAATGCTTCTTCTTAACCACTATTTTATCTAGAATGGCTTCTAAAACCTTATCATATGTGGAAGTGGTGCCAAATGATACTTTTTTGGGCTCATTCCTTGTTAATTATTTTATATCTTCATGATAAGGCTTTTAATAACTAATATGGAAAATCAGGTGAAAATTGTGTCACGGCAGTAGCCCCAATTGAGGGCTTGTATACTTTTATAGAAATCCCTTATGAAGTGAGCTTGTTTACGTGTGTTGGTTGACTAGAATCTTCACAAACACCATATCTCCCACAGAAAACTCCACATGACTTTGTTTATTATCCTTTCATTTCTTCATCTTCTTCATTGTCTTGCTCAAGTACGATTTTGTAATGTTTGTTTGCTTTCATGTCAAGTCTTGACAACTTTGAACATTGAAGGACTACTTCTATTGTACTTACCCTCCAAAATTTATGATGTAAGAGGTGGATGCCCATAATCATCTCAAAAAGACTTCGATTGGTTAATTTACTCCAATGCAAATTATCTGAAAATTGCTGCAATAGCCAACAGCATTATCCAATCTTACTAGTCAATGCTCACAAAATGTCTCAAATATACAACTCTAAGGGCATATTCACCTTCTTGGTATGGTTATCTTTTCGATGGACGAAAACTAGTGAAAAAGTATAGCATGTAACCTATGATCTTGAACAAACTTTATCCATAACTTCTTGGTGAACCATATGTTTAGATTTATGCCTTGCAAAAAAAAATCAATTTCTATAAATATGATAATGAATAAGGCACTATTCATTTATGCATTGATGAAGACATATTCTAAGGTTCCAAGACTTATTATGATGATAAGAACTATTTATGTGAGGGATTCATCATGAAATACACAATTCTTAAATAAAGTAAAAAACAAAACTAGATACTTTTTTACAAGGAAAGTTGTTGTGTTGTGTGTTTCAATTAAGGGAGTGACTAGTTTCAAGTCATCAAAGGGTTGACTTTGGACATATACAATTGTGCATTTGGAATGTGTTGAATTAGAACTTGTGAAATTTGAAAATTATGTGAAAATACTGAAACTACCCCTTAAAATTTTTACAAGGTGTAAAAATTTAGTGGGGAATTTAATTTGTGAAATAAATATGTCGCCTTACAAGATTAAGGAGATATATAGAAAGATCTTATATAAGGTCATGAAAGCCTTAAGTATATATATACGTTATATGGGTTAAATTCTTTTATAAAACTTATGTCGTAATTTGAAGAAGCAAAAATCCAAAGAATAGAAGATAGAGAGAGAGAAATGAAAAGAGAAAGACTAACAAAGGGGAATCCGATCTATATCGACAACGAGCTAAGTATTATTTCGTTACGTGTATTGAGTTTTAATGATGAAAGGTTTGAGGTTTTAGAGCGTGAAGGTTCTAGACTTGTAGATTTTTCAAATTTAGGTTAGAAGATTAATACGTTACTTTGAATAAAATATTTTTGTGAATGTTTTTCAATAAGCTTACAACATGTTTATGTAAAACGTTTTTGTATTTGTAAGACATGCAAGTCTGATTTCAGAATGTTTTCGGATAAACAATGTGTTTTTGCACAAATTAAGATATGATGTGTTTTGTTTTCAAGTTATGTGATTGATCGAACAATGCTTATGTGACTTTGTTTATGGAACTGATATTCATTTGTGGGTCGAATTTTCACTTATATATGTTCCTATCCAAACATAATCATATTTTCAACTATACGTTCTAACTATGTTATGTATAGTCTCTTCTTCATTATGCAAAATCTACCAAGTTATGTGATGTGTTAGAATTTTATGTAAGCGTGACTATGAACTTGAGTGATTGAATTCTACGAACCTACGGCACGTGATTTGAGAAATATTTTTTGAAAAACTTCCATTTGCTTACTGTATTAATCCGTTGGAGCTTAATTAAATATGTTCATTAGGTCTTCTAGTTTACTTTAATTAAATTTTTTTGACATAAATGGGTTGAATTTTCTATCTAATGTTGAATTAATTAATTTTGTTCGAAATATTTTGCCCACCCTGGTTTGGAAAAAATCAGTTGGTACCCATGGTTTTGGAAACTATCAACATTCCACTCGATTTCAATTTCCAACCTTAAATTTAACAATTAAAGGGTTTTTTTACCTAAAATATATAACCTTAAACTTGGAAACCTTAATCTCTCTCACAATCTCCTTAACTAAAATAAACCCAAAAAGAAAAATACTCATCTCAATCTCTCAATATTCATATTTAAAAAAAGGTTGAATGACTTACGCATACCCAAGGTTTGCCGAAACGACAAGTTGGTATCCAAAAAGTTTTGAAACGACAAATAGGTACCTTCCGTCATGTTCTGTTAGTGATTTTCGTTTGATAATAGTGAAAAGACTAAAATGCCCTTGAAAGTTTAATATTTTAGTTTTTTATAAATTTAAAAATTTCTAAAAACCCCCCTAGGTTTGCTAATTTGACTAAATACCCTAATATATAAAAATTTTATAAAATAACAAAAACACCCCCACCACCCGCAGTGCCAGATTCCGGCTACCACCGCCGAAAAATTGTGTTACGACATAGACCCATCGGATCTGTGTCGTAACGAGTAGATCTGGCATTTTCCGGCAAGATCCGTGGCTAATCTGGCCGGAAAATGCTAGATCTACGGTCAGATCTGGCCGTCGAGGCCGAAATCTTGCCGGAAAATTGTGTTACAACACAGACTCGTCGGATCTATGTCGTAACACGTCGATCTGGCCGGAAAAGGCCAGATCTGGCCGTCGAGGCTGAAAAAGGCCAGACGTAGATCTGGCATTTTTCGGCCATATCCATGTCGGAAAAGGCCAGATCGATGCGTTTTCCGGTCAGATTTCGGCGGTGGTGGTCGAAATCTGGCATTGCGGGTGGCGGGGGTGCTTTTGTTATTTTATAAAATTTTTATATATTGGGGTATTTAGCCAAATTAGCAAACTTATGGGGTTCTTTAGAAATTTTTAAATTTATAAAAAACTAAAATATTAAACTTTCAAGGGCATTTTAGTCTTTTCACTATTATCAAATGAAAATCACTAACAGAACATGACGGAAAAGTACCTATTTGTCATTTCAAAACCTTTTAGATACCAACTTATCGTTTCGGCAAACCTTGGGTATGTGTAAGTCGTTCTTCCTTAAAAAAAGAGGAGAGGGGGGGGGGGGAATCGACCATGATGGCCAAGACAAATCTTGTCTTTCATATAGGTAAACAAAATTTTGTCTACACATTTTTATGGTAGATCAGTTTGATAATCGTAATCAAATTACCAAAATGCCCTACATAAGGAAGTTTGTAATACTTTTTAAAAGGGCGAACGACAAGTTCCCACCCTAAAAGCTTCAAAACAACAGTTTCCCACCCATCCATCCAATTTTTCCGTTAATTTAAACTTCTGAAGGATAGAATGGTAAATTCAATTTATTTTTATTTTTTATTTTCTTTTATAAATTTTGATAAATTACTGCCGGCCACTTCCCCCTCCTCTTCCATAACCTCCATAACCACCACCTGCTGCCGACCCGGTGCGATTCCAACACTTCTTTTTTGGGTAAAAGTTAATTATAAAAATAATAAAGAATTACAGAAAAAGGGAGAGAACCGTAAGCACCAACATCCTTGGACATGACCTTGGACATGACCAAGGAACAAGCTAGAATGCAACAACCATGGAGCTAGGGGTGTTCAAAAGCGGTTAACCGCTTTTCTAAACCGAACTTGTTTTTCGGTTCGGAAAAATTCACGAACAAAACCAGTTTTTCGGTTAATTAGTTTTCCTTTTTTTTTATAAAACTTTTTTTTTCCCTAAATTAAATTGTAAATATAAACAATACATATCCAAATAAAAATTAAACATTTA